GGGAGCGCAGGGCTGGGTCCCGTCGGGGCGGGGCATGGAGGTTCCACAGCCTCGCTGGGCAGCCTGTTCCCAGGGGTTTGTGTTGTTCAAGGCTTAAGTAGAATTTCCTGCATTTCAGTGTGCGCCCGCAGCCCTGTCGCTGACGCCTCTGGGAAGAGCTTGGCCACGTCGTCGTCTTTGCTCCCTCCGTCAGATACTTGTACACGTTGATAAGGTCCCCCCGCGTCTTCCCGAGAAGCAGCTGGGGTCCTTAGCCTGCCCGTGTTTGCTCTGTACAAATGCTAGGTCTGATCCAGTCGGTGCCACGCTGTTGGTAACTCACCGTCACATAAAGCCAGGAGAGTAGATGTTAAAGCAACACTTCTAAGCTTAAAGAATGCATATGAGATTTCTGACGAGTTATTCATGCTACCTTCATGTGAAAATAATTAGTGCACTGTTTCCTCAATTTGCAAATGATGAACTGCGGCATGTTGTTTGGCAGCGTAGCATTTACAGAGGCTGTGAGATGAGCAGGTTCTCCCACCCATGCTCTTCTTGTTCTCCTCAAAAGCTACTTCAGATCGCATGAGATCACCAAAGGTTTTGAAGTTCCTCATTGCAAGCCTTTTATCCTGATCTCTTCCTCCATTTGAAGCACATTGCAGCCGATAGGCCTGCTCTCAGTATCTGGGGAGCGATCACTGCTGTTCCTGGGATTCACTTCTGGCATTCATTGTTTCAGTTTTTCTTTCCCGATTTAGAGCTATCAAAGTTTTGTGCGTCGCCGTGGTGCCTTTTAGTGACAGGAGTACTATAAAGCTGGTGGATAGACCAGCTAATTGGACTTCGGGATAGCCGAGTGTGAATGCTACCGTGTTTTGAAATTGTGAAAACCTGATTTCCACGCAGCATTGTGTGGGCTTAAGCATTTTTCTCAAGGAAAAAGGAGCTAATTCTGCAAAGAAGAGACTATTTCCGCTTTCAGTAGCATCCTTGTTTCCCAGACTGGCAGTATAAGTGATGTATTTTTTAATTTGAGATGGCAGCGCCCTTTGTATTCTGCAGAGGATTAAGACACTTCAGGACATTATCAGCAAAGGGTTACAAAAGGAGTTTTGCTCAGTGCCGGTTAGCTTGGGTAACTGTATCCCATGGTTTGAGTCCTCTTTCCTTTCTTCATCCCTGTTTGTAGTGTTCGGGTGCATTTCTCATGGCCGCGATAGATGGTCAGATGTTTTAATCACCTGTCTTCTTCTCTTGTTTCAGCCTCAAGGAATAGGCTCACCCAGTGTCTACCACGCTGTTATAGTCATCTTCTTGGAGTTTTTTGCCTGGGGACTCTTGACGGCGCCCACTCTGGTGGTAAGAGATACGCTGCTTAAGCTTTCTCTCACTGTATGGGAGACGGGGCAATTGCTGCAAAGGCGCTGAGCGTCTTCTGAATTAAATTAAAATTCTGTATCGTTGAGCTGCTGTGTTGTGCAAGTGAGAAGTTTTGTATTTTTACATGGAACCAGGAATTTAGTTCATTACAGCAGTGCAGTGGTGCAGTATAGCTGTTTATGTGCAAGTCTGCTGACACTCGAGCTGACGTGCATATTTTCTGACTTGAAACCAGTAAGACAATAATGAAATTGCCTTTCAAGATGCTACAAAAAGTTGGCACATTAGAAATGTAAGGACAAAAATACGCTTGGGAGTTGGTAAAGTGGCGCAAGCGCACGTGTGTGTAGGTAGGGAGATCTTTGCTGACCTGGCTGTGCTTTAAACAGAAGCCTCAGAGCGCAGACCCTGTTACACCAGTCAGAGCTTCCCTGTGATTAGCGAGACAGTCATCCCAACGTGTTCATACCGAATTATTTTCTAATGCAGTTGGTTGCTTTCCATTTGGATTTGATCTTTGAGGGTGACACATAGCTTACAAATTAAAAGGAGCGAAGGCTTAAAGATCTCCAAGCAAATTCCACCTAAAATGCAGCCTTGGTGCGGCTCTGTGAAGCTGGTGTTAACCACGAGCAGTCTCTCGGGTATAAACCCCACGTCGGGTAGCACAAGTCAGACCGTCAGCGGTGCCTGTTTTCACCTGCGTGTCTAGGCTCCGGTCACCGAGTTGAGAAGCGCGTCGGAATGGTGGCGGCTCTCCTCTCACCCCCCAGCCCCCTACAGGTGACAGGGTGACGCGTGGAGAGCCTGGCCTGAGGTCATTCCCTGGGGTCTCTGTGGTCTGTTTAGATTTCAGACACTGGAGTTGGATGACGTGAATCCTTCCCAAAGTGTTGAGAGAACTGAGGCCTCTATCAAGTAAAGCTAACATCCCAAAGAACCTTCCTAAATAGATTATTTGTGGCGTGTGTGTTTTTTCTTTCTCTGTATTCTGCGAAAATATAAAACTGCTGTGGGTGTGCCACTGTAGAAGTTGGATGCATCATGAGCAATATTTATAGTTAATACTGTGTAAATGACAGTGTTTCTGTTTCTTCTCCAGGTTTTGCATGAAACCTTCCCAAAACATACATTTCTAATGAATGGTCTAATTCAAGGAGTAAAGGTAAGGTGACAAAAGTTAATCACAAATACAGTTTAAAGTGAATGGTGGGAGGAATACAGAAATGGCTGCCAATGGAGAGAAGCATTCCAGAGGTTTTTCAGTACAGCTTTCACGGCATAAATACATCAGGGGAATAAATTATTGCTAAAAGAGCACATATGCATTGTTTTACTTTCAGTAAGATACTGCTCGTTCTTTACCTGCTGTTTGGGCTCAGCAAATAAAAAGGTGGTCGACGAACCCCAAATGACACACGTGGTGTTAAAATTTGAGAATTTTCGGCTTGCCGCTTGTAGCTCCAGTGGGGGATTTTCAATGACTTAAGTTCACGTGAATTCTAAAGATGTAAAACTATAAAACACAGTTCATAAAATTGTGACTGGATCATCGGCTTTTTGAATTTTGTGTAGCTCTGAGGTAATAACTCTCACATTTTACGTAACCAGACGTGGGATAGGAGATTGGTGATGCCTGACCACATTGCCTTTGCATTGCACTGTAGCCATCAGCGTCAATAAAAACAGAGCCCAGCCCGCTATCAGACTGTGGTAGGGTCAGCTATCGCGATTCTAACCGCTGAGTTCTAACTTTAAATGTTTTGTTTCATTTAGGGCTTATTATCGTTCCTCAGTGCCCCGCTCATAGGCGCCCTGTCTGATGTGTGGGGGCGAAAGTCCTTCTTGCTGCTAACAGTGTTTTTCACCTGTGCACCAATACCACTAATGAAGATCAGCCCATGGTTAGTACATCCTTTCACGCCAAATTTGCCCTTCCTTGTCAGGGTTGCTGTACAATGTTTTATGTTTCTGGCATTGTTGATAAAATACTGTGCTGCTCCATGGAAGGTTGAGGCTTTTGAGTTACTTTGGTGCAAAGTGGGGAGAACAGAGTCAAACTGAAGTAGCTGCCATGAGGCCCAACGCCTTGGTCAGAATTTTGAGAGCTCTGTGCTGTAGGCCCCACTTCCACTTCAGCACATTTGCAAAAGGCATCGGAATGCTCTCCAGTAAACTGTGCAGGTCTTTATTGTGGCCTATTGCTGAAATACTAACCAAGCCTGCAGGGGTGAAAACCTTACCTAATGCTAGCTAGCGTGTGAAGTAACCATTTGTAATCTAAAACATTGCTGCAATTCTATACTTTTTGTTTCTCAAGTGTTAAAATGCACCAGCTTTCACGCTGCGTGCGAGTCAGTAAGCTCTTAACTGGCACGTCTGTTCCCCAGGTAGTGCTTGAGTCGGAGCTCTCGGTGGTGTTGGACCCGTGTGCTGTACCTGAGGGCGTAGCTGAAATAACAGGGACTGCACTGACGCAGGGCAGAGCCGGCTCTTCTGGCAGCTCCCTGAGCCGATTCAGTTCTCTCTCTGGTCACATGGATTGTTCATGGATTCTTGTCCTGGTTTTGGCTTGGATAGAGTTAATTTTCTTCCTAGCAGCTGTGGTTTGGGTTTAGGATGGGAAGAACGTTGGTAACACCCAGATGGCTCAGTTGGTGCTGAGCAGGGCTTACACCAGGCAAGGACTTTTCAGCTTCCCCTGCTCTGCCAGGGGCACAAGGAGCTGGGAGGGGGCACGGCCAGGACAGCCGACCCCGCCTGCCCACAGGGCTATTCCAGCCCATGGGGCCTCCTGCCCAGTATGGAAACTGGGGGAGCTGGCCGGGGGGCAGGGACCCCTGATTGGGGACAGGGTGGGCATCAGCGGGTGCATCACTTGCTGTGTGTATTCTTTTATTTTTATTATTATTGTTGTTGTCTTTGTTGTTGTTTTCCTCTGCTGTTCTATTAAACTGCCTTCATCTCACCCCATGGGTTTTACTTTTTTCCGATTCCCTTCCCATCCCGCTGGGGAGGGGGCAGCGAGTGAGCAGCTGGCGTTCCGCTGCCCACCGGGTTAAACCCCAACAGCCCTTCTGGCGCCCAGTGTGGGGCCTGGAGGGTTCAAGGTAACGACAGAGCTGACCAGAGCGTGCCAAAACGAATCTGTGATAAGCATTCGTTACCTCAGTCCAGCAGTCGCTGGTCGCAGTGTTGATTTATTTGCGCTCCGAGTCGCCGTCCCTGCTGTCAGAGCTGTGCTGTGTAACTCCTGGGCCGCTGCGCACGCTCCCGGCAGCGAAGTTACCACTTGGCTGTGCCGTGTGGATCTGGTGTACGGTAGGGTAAGATTATCGGGCACGACGTGGTACTCGGCACTGCCGTCACCCCCGTACTTTGGGAGCCATCTCTCGGAAGCTATTGATAATTACACTTGTTGCCTCTTCTCTGGGGGAGGCAGGGGGGACGCTTTCCCCCACTCCGTCACCTTCCCTTTCTGAAAGGAGAAATCCCAGCCGAAACCAGGACAAGTCTTCATCCCTTTCTTGGGAAGTAGCTTGTTTCTAAGCGTGGATTGGTGTTTCAAAGGATGAGTGCCAGTGTCTATGGCATAAAGATAAGGCTCATGGTGAGACCTCTCAATGACCAGACTCTCAAAATACCAAAGTTCCTAATTTGCTGTGGGTCACAGGCGTCCTGTCGAAGTTAGTCTAGCACCTCGTTTCCTAGAAGCACTTAATTGCAGCAGCTCTTTCTAGACGTTACAAAATTACGCTGTTTTATCGTTGTACTCGGTGCGCTAAGGAGGAATCACAAGGGTGTCGAGGCACATTCACGTTGGCTTTGCCCAAGTTTATTTGCCAGGAAGAGTTGGACAAGATGAGTGACTCGTCTCCATTTAGCTGTTCTAATTCTGTCATCGTGTTCTTAGGTGGTACTTCGCTGTTATCTCCGTCTCCGGAGTTTTTGCAGTGACCTTTTCTGTGGTTTTTGCATATGTAGCAGACATAACCCAAGAACACGAGAGAAGCATGGCCTATGGTTTGGTATGTATTTTTTTGGCTCTCTTCCTGTGGCATTCGGTACTAAATGCTTCCGTCGGTAAAGCTTTCAGAATTGTAGTTTTGTTCCTTCTCAGGCAAGTTGATCTTAGTTTGGAGGAAGGTTTTTCTGTTTAATCGTTCTTGTCATCCACTCCTGTATCTCTGGAATATTCTGCTCCTAACTCAATCAAGACCTGCCCAGGTCAAAGGCTGCCTCTCAGGTGGCCGCCTCGGCAGCGACTCCCAGCGTCAGTGATGCCATTCGAGGGGCTTCAGTTACTCCCCCGTTGTTCCTCACACTCGCGCTGCTCCATCACCTTTTCAAAAAGCAAAGTCTTTGTTCCTGGGTGATTTTGGAACTGCCATCGCGTGGTGCCTTGCCTGCTTCTGCTCGTGTCTCTGCACACGCTGCTGCGCTTCAGTTCAGAAGAAGCGTGGCTGAGGAACTTGTCGGCCTGACGTCCCTATGGCTC